AGCGGGACGGAAGGGCGGGGAGGTCGCGGAGGGAACCGCGCGCCGCCGCCTGCAAACAGCATCGGGATGGGGTACGAGGGGGGTTAACTGGTTTCAGGGTTACTGGTTTCCCTTGTGCTCGGCGTGTCGGACAATATGGGTTTTTCCCTCTGAACTTTAGCACGTGCAAAGGCGAACTGCTCGGATTTTCTGTCGGCGGGCGCGTAGTCGGTTGCGTTTCTCTTTGGCCATCCGAGTGCTTCTTTCAAGCTGCAAACGCAAGATCTGCTTGTTGTTCATCTAGGCCTGTGCCTGCGCGGGGAGGAGGAAGGCTGTTCCCGTCTCACAGAGGCCACTGACGACTCTCCAGCATGGTAGTTTTCACGTGCGATGCATGTGGAGAATCTGTGAAGAAAGCACAAGTTGAAAAACATGTGAACATCTGCAGAAACTGCCAGTGCCTTTCTTGCATGGATTGCGGCAAGGATTTCTGGTAGGTAAAGGATGGGACAGAGCCTTTCTCAATCTGCAGTGGTTATCACAAATAGAAGATTTTCGTATATTGTATTAGAATTAAATTTGACAATTTCTGAATAATTCAGGTTCGCATTTTAAAATTATACACGTTTTAATATAATTTCAAGCTTAATCATCCAAGTTTGAACCACAAGGGCAACTAAATCACACAGTAAAAAGAGTTGCAGTTTCTTCTTGTACAGTTATAAGTGACAGTGCTTTCAGCTTCCGATCACCAACAACTGTTACCTGTTCTGCTGCTGCAGAGAGTGCGATTGGCAATAACATCAAAAATTCTGAATTTGGTTGTCACTTGACAGAACTCAGAAGAAAGCAGTGCTACTGCTTTTCAAATAAAGATTGTCTTCAAATAAGAATTATATTTCCCCATACTTCACTGACAAAAGATTAAGATCACAGAATCACAGAACGTTAGGGATTGGAAGGGACCTCAAAGGATCATCTAGTCCAATCCCCCTGCCGGAGCAGGACCACCTAGATCAGATCACACAAGAACGCCTCCAGGCGGGTTTTGAACATCTCCAGAGAAGGAGACTCCCCCACCTCTCTGGGCCTGTTCCAGTGTTCTGTTACCCTTCCTGGGAAGGAAGTTCTTCCTTATGTTTAAGCGGAACCTCCTATGTTCCAGCTTATATCCATTTCCCCTTGTCCTATCATTGGATGCCACTGAGAAGAGCCTGGCTCCATCCTCATGGCAGTCACCCTTTACATATTTATAAACATTAATGATATTAATGTTTATGATTAAAGATGTGTGTTATTCGTTCCTTTTTAGGGCACTTGCATATTGGTCAGAACTACACTACAACATTAGTATATCTGTATTTAGGAATTAGATTTTTGCAAGCATTTTTCACCTTTTCTAATTTTAAAATGTGTCAGTGAGTAGTTAAACATAGATGATGTGTTAATAGCTGTGCAAACCTTATATGTAGAAGTGTGTATAAGTTACAGAGTCGTTAATAAAAGCAGTGGTGTGCTGAAGACTCAGATCTGATTTTGCAGGTCAGAAATTTTCACTGAAGGCTGAGGCATGACAGAAACGTCAGCAGTCTTACAAGCATGTACTTTAAGCATGTTGAACTTTTACATTTGTAAGTGTTGACATTAATTTAAATATTATTTAAGTGATAGATGCTGTAATCTATTACCCCAGTTGTTGCCTACATAAGTCTTGCATAGTTCAAAGGGCTGAAACACTTCAGTGAACTACAGTTAAAAATCTCCTGTGTTCAGGGGTGACGATTATAAGGAACATGTGAAGTGTGTAAGCGAAGACCAGAAATACGGTGGAAAAGATTTTGAAGCCAAAACTAACAAAGGAGATGCTAAACAACAGGAGTGGATTCAGGTAAGGTTTATACTATATAGAGATATGATAAATAACTATTGTTTGCAGTTGTTAAAAAACACACAGGATCAAACTGGAGATCAATTCTTCCCAATATCCGCAGCTTTCTTTTGCAAGTTCCTTGGTAGGTCTGTTGCTTATCCTGGTAAGAAACACACCTTTCGTTTGTTTTGAATCTCTCTCTTACTAGTTTGATTTAATGTTCCCTAATTCTTGCATACAAAGAGGCATTGATCATTGTCCACCCTTTTCATGCCACATACGCTTTTGTAGACCTGTGTCAGGTATCCCTGCCCGTCTCATCAGCTCTGTTCCAGGCCAAAAAGTCCTATCCTGCTCAGTCGTTCTTCATATGTAAATTCTATCTGTGGTCAGCTTTGCTAAAGTCTTCCCAATTCTACTGTATCCTTGCAAAATGAGGTTACAAGAACTACATACACTGTTCAAAATATGGATGAACCATAGATTTACTCTGTGTCATAATGATGTTTTCTGTGTCCTTCTTTATTCCTTTCTTAGTGATTTTTGTCAGTTGGTCTTTTTTTTTTTTTGGCTGCTGCTGCTGATTGTTCTGGCACTTTTGGGGAATTGGGTATTCTAACTCCAAGATCTTGTGTCTAAGCTCAACTTAAAGCCTGCCATTTTAGATGTGCAGTGAAGATTGCTTTACATGAATTTGTGTTGGAGTTTAATTCACCTTTTTATTATGTAGTCACTTATTCTCTTAAGATCTCTCTGGAATTCTTCACAACTCTCCTCATCCTGAATAGCTTCATACCATCAGGAAAATTTTACTGCCCTCTTTTCAGATATTTTGTAAATATGTTGAACAGCAGAGGCTCCAGCATGGATGGAAATGTCTCTTACCCTTTCTGTCCTACCCTTCAGGTAGTTATTTATCCTGTGCAAGAATCTGCCCTCTTACAGCTGTTAGTTTCCTTTAAAGGTTTTAGGAAGGAACTCTCAAACATGTTTTTAAAACCTCATTAGATATAATTAGTTAGATCACCTTTATCCATGGATTTGTTGATTTCTATCTTGTATAGAACACAATCCAAGAAAGTACTAAGCCACATGCATAGTCAAGGCATATTGAAGTCAACAGATTAGTGCCATTGTTGAGACTGAACATTGTTTGGGTACATTTTTCAAAGGCAGCATGATGTGAATGCTGTTGCTTATGAAAATTGTTAGCCTTCCTCAACAGTAAGTACTTTCCACACAGAAAGGTAAAGGATTATTACGGAGCATCCTTTTCTGGTAGTCTTAACGCATCCACAAAACCTTTCAGTAAACAGATTTCCAGAAGTACAGGAAGGCTTTCTAGTGGCCAGTGGCTACATCTTTAAACAATGGGAAGCTCAGAGCATTTTTTCGTGCCACAAGCAGCAGAGCTGTTCAGGTGACTGCCGTAAGTAAGGCCCTGGCCTCACCTGCTCTGCTCTCTTGTGTTGGCATCCATAGCGTAGGAATACGCCTGAGCTGTTTTACAGGGATTAATGGTTGTTGAACTGGCACTGCTGCCGAAAGAAATGCGTGTCAGACTGCGGCCTCAAAGTTAGCCTAATTTTTCACAATTAACTCCAGAAGTTTGCAAAAAACAGTCGGTTGACATTTGCTTTTCTTAATGTAGGTCTTCTTCATGCTGCAAGAATCCCCTATGTAATACAGTTACTTTACTTTTAAATGTTTTTATTACAGGTTGTAACTTGTACATCAGAAAGCACTGGTGAGCAATCCTGCTTCCCTTTGCTTACTATATAGGTATAAATATTTGGATAGATAACTGATGCATCTTGTGATCTGTGATAAAACCAAAGGTTAGTGGTTTTGCCATGTGAATTGACCAGTTGTTTCGAGCAGGCTACACAGTCTGTGGGTACTGGGTGATTTCTGTCCGACGCATTTCCAACTTGAATACCTTGCATGTATCATTTGATCATTATGCTTCTGTGATGATTTAATTCTGGTTTTCTCCATTCAGAAAATTCATGAAGTAATGAAGAAGCCAAACATAAGCCCTAAAGTGCGGAACATTCTGGAGCAAATGCGTGCCTTCGATAATATTCCAAGAAAAAAAGTAAAGTTTCAGGTATGTTTTAATAGAGATTTGTAGTAATCCATGCAGTGAGCTTAAAAATAGACTTTGTTAGCGAGTGCCACTCTCTTTTAACAAAGGTGGGGAAAATTGTTTATTTGGGCATTGGTAAATAGATGGTGTAATAGCTGAGTTTCAAATAGGTAATGTTTGTAAAATACATCTCCTTGCCTGAAAGGACTCTCTGTGTGCCATTTTCATTAGGTATTAAGCCAGAGACTCACCATTCAGGCTTAATCTCCATGTGTAGGCTTGTTCTTTTTTTAATATCTTTCTTTTTTTTTCTTCTATTTGCGATTTCTATTGACTGTCCAAATCTTAGACATACTTTTAAAGGATTCTTATTTCTGTGGCTTTGTTTTTTCCTGGTAAAGACAAGATACTGTTTTGAGAGTTTTCTGTTGCTCAGTATTCTGACAGAATCTCCCACACTGCGTGCTTCACTAAAATTTCCATCACAGCCAAAGCAAATTTCAAATATTTCATGTGATATCAGTAACGAATTACTGACAAGCTGGCCTTTCCGCCCACCCCCTTCTCTGTCCTGTGCCTCAGATTGTGAGGCTGAGAGAAGACCATGATTGCTTCCAAAGCATTCAAATAGAACCAAATAGAGCTGTGGTGAAATTGCTGCTAGTGAGCTGAAGGTTAGAATAGTTTTCTACAAAACTAATGTTCTAAGCAGGGAAAGTGATATTATCAAGAAGCCTCTTTCTTTTTGGTAAGATATGTTGCAGTGGAAGATCAATTTGCAGTTCATTGTTCAAATTTACTAATGCAACTTTCTTGGAGTTTTCATTGCAATCTTTACTACTTTTTTTAAATTTATTTAGAATTCCACATTCCTGAAAGTTGATCTGTTACTGATAGTGTGGGCATATTCATAAGTAGAAATTTGCTTTCGTTTT